AAATGAGTTGAAGGGAAGGGAAAGGGAATCCCTCTCACACATAGAGGGAATCCCTCTAACAAAAATTCCCTTCATTTCCCTCAGAGGGAAAGGGAAAATGAAGGGAATCCCTCTGAAAATGAAATCTAGTTACAGATAAAGTAGTGTTTTTGTGCCAAATTTGTTCAATAAATGTATAGAAATTGTATATTATTGTCTATAAAGCAGTATAATTTGTTGTATACAGTATACCAGTGTATTATCAACGCAATGCACAGTATTTGAAGGGTATTTGAAGGGAATGTGAAGGGAAAATGGCAATGAAGGGAAATGAAGGGAAGGGAAAGGGATTCCCTCTTCCCTGCAGATGAAGGGAAAGGGATTCCCTCTTCCCTGCAGATGAAGGGAAAGGGATTCCCTCTTTTCATGATTGAAGGGAAGAGGGAAGGGAAGGGAATTAAAAAATACGAAAAGTTGCAAGTCTACCTTAAAGTTATTCAAAAAATTAAAAATATCTTAATTTTTAGATATGTAAAAAAATTATTTTAAACCACTACTAGATTGTCAATTTATTATATAAAAAATTGTTTAAAATACAATTAAGAATAGGAATTAATTATACACGGTTAGTTATTACACAAAATATAATTTAATCATTTTTTATAACGATTTGTCTGTTTAGTTTTTCTGGTTTGATTGGCCTAGTTGATATTGAATATTTGGTTAATTTTGTTAATTTGGTTTATTTTTTGTTTTTGTTGATATGTCTCGTTTGGCTTGGTCAGTTTTTGCTGCTTTTATTGGTACCAAAACAGGTTTTGCAGACTTTTGCTTGAATTTTGACATTTTTGGCATTTCACATTTTTGCTTAAGATATTTATCAAGAGGTTTATTAGGTTGCCTCTCATCCCTCCCCTCTTCAATACACTTTTTATTAATCCTAATAAACAAATCCCAATCCTTGTTTGATATGTGTTTGAGATGTGGTAAACATTTGCCACTTTTAACCTTCGGTGGTATTCTGTTGTAACTGGTGTTTCTGCCGCCGGCATAAACCGGTATCGCATCCAGATATATATAATCTTCGGCCGCCATTTTCCTTGCCAACATTTTATTACGAATGTTAGAGTTTAAGAATTGCTTACAGAAATTGAACGTGGGCTTAAATATATCATTTTGGTCAAATATAATGCTCATGTATGTCCGTGTATCAATGCCCCGATCATCATTAAACATCATCGCGCAATCGTAAATAACCGCTGTTATGGTTGACATGAAATTAAATAAGAGAATAAATTTATTTTTAAAATTATTATATGTGATAGTTATTCGTATATTTAATCATACTCACGTAACATATAATTATCAAGTTCCATATTCTTTAAACTAAAATACGATAACATCGGGACTTTTGCATTTTTGCGACTAAGATCATACAACATGTGCAAAATAAATTGTCTGTATAATGTATCGATAGCTTTGCTATTAGTCAAATACAAACACCGTCCTACTAGACCGACAACAGGTAAACCAGATTTAGATAACCCGAATTGGTTTATAAATCCGGCGGCAAAAAACTCCGAGGGGTAATATTCGGGCACAAATGTCTTTTTGGTTGCATTGATTAATTTAGTAGAAACAGGAAACATTGACTTCGGGTTAAAAGCAGATAAATTAAAAAATTTGTTTAAATTTGGATTTATCATTTTAGGATTAGCCAGTTGTTTCACCGAATCCAATACGAAATCTTGGTTAAAGATACCGTATGACAGCGCAATTATTTGCATCAATATTATTACTAAAAATTTTAGCATTTTTGTATAACAGTACAAGCTGTGATGATATCCGATTTAATTAATTAATACATAAGTAGTAATCAAATTTATTTTTAAAATATCATAATGTTGAATATTATAATTTAAATAATTAAATTACTGATACTTACATTTTGTGTAGTCTTATTTTGAATTTAATGCTATCCTGGATTAAAGCACAATTTATTGCCAAAATCACTTTTAAAAAAGTCCAATTAAAACATATATATACTGTATATGAAAAACTTGTTATATGTTAGAGAATGATGTATATAAAAATGGTTAAGAAATTTAATTAATACAGTTATACATATGGGTATTATGATGCACAAGTAAATTAGCAATTATATCAGAGTTTATGTTTACATTAATAATGACCAACATTAAAAAAACAGAATTATACCATATTTAAATTTAGTGTATCATTGGTTATATTTGCTCTAACAAATAACTATCAACACTAAATATTATCCGTAAATTATTTTTTAAATAAATTGTTTAATATTAATCTACATATTTTTATGAAGTGTGGTTAAAATGAAAATCAACAAGTTTATTATATTATCTTTACTAAATTTATTAATTAATATAAAAGTTGATTATAATATTAATGAATACATATCAGTGGTGGAGAGCCGTAACTTTACGGGACGTGTGGTGTTAGTCACCGGATCTAACAGTGGTATCGGCGCCGATATTGTTAAATTGTTTGCTATGTTAGGGGCTAATGTTGTGGTCACGGGTAGAAATATGGCCAGAATTAATAATGTGGTCAATGAGTGCCGTCAATTATCGCCACAATCCCTGGAGGTAAGTTATATTATTAACCACAATTCAGATATAAATAATGTGGTTTATCGGATTGTTTGGCTCCCCTCCCCCGGCCAGCCACCGCACTATGGGATTTAACATGGAATTACAGCTTATACCTATGGTTATACTTTAACATGGGGTTCTTAAGTCTATAAGGAATTAACATGGGATTACAGCTTGAGTTTATGAGTACTTTAAAATAGGTAATGCTAAGTCTAGGCCAAGACTAGGCTGCGGGCCGATCGCCGCCTTCCACTTTGTGAGGGCAGAAATCCATAGGGGCATGGCTTTTGTTTAAATTGTAATTTTTATTCAAAACGTTTCATTGAAGTGAGAAGAGGTAAGTGAGGTAAGTGAGAAGTGAAAGCATTGCAAAAATGCCTTTACTTATAAACAATAATTATTAGTCAAAGCATAGAAATAAACCAAAAATACATTAATAATTCATAAATAATTTAAAATTTTGTGTCAGACATGTAGTCATTATTTTTACATGTTAGAATTAACATATGTAATGTTAAATTTATGGTAATGCTAATAATATAAGTAATGTTTAGTCTATGGGACCAATGCTTTATAATGGGTTTTTATAAGATTACAGTTTTAGTCTATGACATAGGTGTAACATGAATAATTCTATGGCAATGATAATCCTATGGGGAATGTTAAGTCTATAGGACTAATGCTTTATATTGTATTTCAATGAGATCCCCTTATTTTATACTTTCAATTATTATTTGATAAAGATTAAAATCTAAATCCTATACATGTCTGTTAATTCGAATCACTACTTGCATTAATACGTAAGCCATTGGGCATTACAGCAGATTTGACCAATAGCGATCAGCTGGCCAATTTAATCGATTCAACAATAAAGCATTTTGGTAAACTTGACGTATTGATCAACAATGCGGGGCAATATTTCCCGTTTACCAAGATTAGTTCAACCAATTTACTTGCTGTCCATGATCAAATATTTGCCATCAACTTGAGGGCCATCGTTGAGCTCATACACCGATCAGTACCCCATTTGGTGCGTACGCGCGGATCCATTATAAACATAGGCAGTGTGGCCGCAATTATTCCCGTATGTATAAAATGTATCAAAGTGATTTAGCTTTAAAAAATAATATAAGGGACTTATTTGAAAATACTACTTTATTAAATTATTTTTAATTACATTAATATCATTGAATATTATTCAATTATAACCAAGAAACTCCTAATAACCTTTAAACATAAATTTATTAAATAAATTTAATAGATTAATTATATAAAACTACAATTAGAATTAATTAATACTTAATATTACCCAACTTAACCTTTATATAATTTCAAAAGCAGCAATAATTCTTTCAAAATCATAATTGTTTCAACACATGCAACAAATTTTCAATTTATTCATATGTTGTACTGATTTTATTTGGAAGTGATTTTGGAATTTTCAAGTATTGCCTCAAAAAATTACTGTAAAAGTTCTATTCTTTACAATAGTTTTGTATTGTACTGATCAAGTATTATTATATAATTAGATGTTACCTCTATGGATAGGACCAGATAGGAAATAAATTATAACTATGCCCGCTAATCACCGAAGTTGTTGTTACCGATCAACGTTAGTTCTGTCCCATACGTTTCTACAATTAAGTACCTATAACATAAATATTATGAAATTAATTTTTTTAGTCTAAAATATACCATGCTTACTCATCTTCAAAAGCCGGCTTAGTTACATTAACAAAAGTTTTGGCACTTGAATTAGAGCCAATGGGAATTCGCATAAATTCAATCAGGTAAATAATTTTATTGTAAATTAATGCTAAATTATTACTATGCTTAATAATTATACTAAAAAGAATTAATTATATTACCCAAGATAATTATTATATTTACGAATTCTCATTTAATAGCCCTGGATGTGTTCAAAATAGACATACTCCAACTGGTTTCGTCGAAAACATATTTGCTAAATATACACCATTGGGCCGCATTGGTCTACCCCTGGACATTGCCAAAGGAGTGATATTTCTGGCCTCAAGTGATGCTAACTTTATAACCGGCACTAATGTGATAGCGGACGGAGGATTACTTTATAATTCGGGATATTTGTTTAAAAACATGTTGGTGGAAACATTTATGGAGCAAATATCAAAGTATATCTTAATTTTACTAAGAAGTTTAATTCGAAATCTAGTTCCAAGATACTACATTAAATAGCAAATTGCGAATTTCAAAAATTTATACTATTGCAGTTTCTAATAATAATATAATTTGGAATTGCATTTTTAAATATAATAATTTTTTATAGCATAGTTACATGTGCATAACATACAAGGTTACTTTGATATACTAATTATCATAAGCTATAAATAATTAGGGTACGTGATATTATTATATATTAAATGTGTTTTATCTTAGTTTGCTTTTTAATTAGTTAAATTCTTAGTTAAATTTTTAAATAAGTTTATTTTTATTTAATACAACAATAGGATTTTATTTAAAAACATAATAAGTTTATACATAATTATTAAATTTTATATTATCTAATTAGATACTATAACAAAATTTATAACTTAGATAATGCTCAATTTAATTGTATACATAATAACTTAGTTAAAGTATAAAATAAAGCATTTAATTACTATAAAATTGTTTGCAATAACGTCTGTAGACAAGTATAGACTGATTATGACGGGTTAATAGCGGGCGTCGAAGTCTCATAGAGTTAACTAAAACATCAAATTCATCACCTAACTATAGAGAAATATTTATTTAAAAATTAATAAATATATAATCCCAATACAATGAAAATATACTGTATGATATTCATAATCTATATAAGGTGAAAAGATATAATAGTCATTAATAGATATAACACGAATAATAAAAATAATAAATGAGAACAGTGTACATATCACATTAGTTATAATAATATATTTTACCTGTTTAGAAACAATAAACTTGAAAAATATGACAAGAATCTGATTGAACAAGGTAGGTCGGGAAAAAATCATGACATTCATTAAAGTTTTTGTGTGGTCAGTGGGTAATGAGGCGCCAACTGTCACAATCTGACCAATGAACGAGCTCTCTTTGCCCACCTCCACCAGCACAGCTACCGGTGAAAGTGTACGTATGATTATAGGCGTAGTGCCCACCGCTTTGCCAAACATTTTATAAATCACACGCCCTGTGAAGACTGGCGCCGGACCCGCACCGCAGTCGCTGTTGAAAACGTACTCTGCATTCAACAATCCCGGCACAAATTTGTTATGCAGATAGGAAAAGTGTACTGTGTCCACTCCATTCTCTTCCATTTGCTAGTTGTGGTGCAAATATTAGGCATTTATATAAGCAATGCGTTTGATTTATTTATTTATTAAATAAAATATTTATTTTACCAAAACTATGCACTCCATTTTCAGCGCAGTATTTTGCCCTCTTCTACTTCTTCACTCAAATTTAACTAACACAACATTCATACCTACAACCAATACAAACTCACATACAAACATACCTAATCCTGAAATTGACTATTTTGAATGTTCAGTAGTAAATATTATTATGCTAAACAATTTACCTGAAATTGTTGGTATACTAATCGCTTTAATGTTCCTAACATTTTCAATTTTGGATATATGTTGGCAACAAAATTATTAGGATAATTCTGAGGGTCAATCCCGTCGTTGTGATACCAGACATAGATTATTTCATTTGCCTCAACTGTCAACCAGTTCTTTACATTAGCTTTTAATGCATTTAACTCAGAATCTGTTGTTAATATAAATTAATTAATTAAAAGTAAATAATTTGTCAACTTAATTAAATTCTACACATACTCTTGATATTAGGTATGCGTTTGCATTGTCCGTCTCCTCCAAACCTCCAGCCATGAAATGGACACTGAATACAGTCGTCGCCCGATTCAGTCACCACATGTCCGCCGACACCAAAATTTGCGCCCAAATGTGGACAATAGGCGGACAACACGTGGACAGCACCCGATCCACCCCTGAATGCCACCAATTGTTGGCCACACATCTCAAAAGGCTTGACCTCATTTGTGCGCAGATGTTGGGATGGCATTAAACATATCCATCCATTCGGATATTGAAGTTTATCCATTACCTCAGCATTTGAATTAAAATCAAACATGGGCTATGACAAACACATCAAATAGTTTATAATTTGTGTTATTATTAAACGTATACATAAATTTATTAGTTACCTTATCTATTGGAAAATGATCTTTTTTAAACAATAGTTTATATAAACAATAAACAGCAATTAATCCTATGATATATTCAAACATGGTTGTTTTATAATCAAATTAATGCGACTTTTATATTATTTTAATCAGAAATTGATTTGTAAAACATATGTTTTCTATAATACCTATAATTATAACCACCCCTCATTTTATGTAGTAATAGGCTTTACAGTAATTACGGGGTCTGTTATTTAATAATCTGTAAATTAATTCAGACAAGTGATATTCAATAATACAAACACAATTTATTAACAATAAACAAGGTTCATACAGGGATACAACAGTATAAGCTAAACACAATTCAGGTATTGCTCAAAGAATAGATTAATATTGTCCATAGATTTAATTGTCCATAAAACTAGCATAGTCCCATTCTTGTATCTTTGTCAATAGACTTAGTCTAGTTACATAAGGTTAACATGCAGTAGTCCCATATTATATTTTGACCATGTACAATTTACTTGAGTACGTTTGTAATTGTTGGCCAAACGCTGGATGGTTTTATTGCTATTTTATTTCCAACTGACATTCCCGATCACTGCTTATAGACTTAACATGGTAACCGGTTTTATATACATTTATTTTAAACACAAATACCGTTACAATTAGTTTAACATTGAGGTTATTTATAAATGCTTAAAAATACATGTAAACTAGTTTAAATGGGATGGAGAAAAGTATGTAAATCATATAAGTTACGAACACTATGAAAAGTATAATGCTGAAAATTAATAACGGCGTGAAATGCAACAGAAAATAAATATAATTACCTTAATTTTATGTTAAATTTATTTTTATTTTATATGATAAAATAAGTTAGACTTACAGTGTTAGTCAAACTGTGATGCGACATATTTACAAATAAATACAAATAAATTATAATATTATTATATAATTATTATATAATTTTTATAAAATTTTATTTTAAATTTACATTTTAATATTTTACATATACATTTATTTAATAGCCGTATAACTTAATTTAACGCCTGTCCAATAAAATTAATAATAACTCTTGATACGAATTAAAAATTAACTAAATATTAGTAAAGAACAATATATGTAAAATTAGAAACTGTGTTTGTTTAGCAGCAAAATAATGTAATCTATTTTGCGGTAACTATGTTATTCAATGAATTAATCGTAATAATATAATAATTAATTGAAACGGGTAAATAATATTGATTATAAAATAGTGTTATGCAATAAAATAAGTGTGTAACGAACTTAGCTACATTAAAAATTAAATATTAATAGATTTAACGGTAACATTTTTTTATTTTTGAGCAATTCTTTCTGACGAGATATTTAGTGAGATATTTAGCCTTAAATTGTGTGTAATTTATTGGATAATTTAGAGTAACTTCCAATAGTTTTAACAATTTTTCCAACGCTATGAGCACTGGTTTACTCAATTCAATCCCATGTAGTGTCAAGTATTGTAGTTTTGGGAATATTCTGTGAATATTTTCCGTAAAATTTCTGTTAAACAATCGGTGGCTACAGTCGAACCTCTCTATAAGATGGCATTGATTGAGCAAATCAGCGGTGAATACAAAATCGTACTTTAATTTTCCCCTAATTTCCAGTCGTTTTAAACGCCAGAAGTGGTCATTGATTACCGGCATAATTGGTGCCGGATTTAAGTCCCACATTGTCTGTGTGTACGGCATATGGATTGATAGGCTCTTTATTTGCCGGCATTTAAGACCCAATTGTTTCAATTGAACCGCAAATGAGTCGCTCGAGAAGTGATTGACAGCTTTGACAGAAATACTCAATTAGTCTGTGTGTACGGCATATGGATTGATAGGCTCTTTATTTGCCGGCATTTAAGACCCAATTGTTTCAATTGAACCGCAAATGAGTCGCTCGAGAAGTGATTGACAGCTTTGAGTCTTTATGAGTTAAGTAAGTTACTCTGTTAAACACCGTTTGTCAAGTAGTCAAATAGTTTGCTAACAAATAGCGTCAACATTAGCTACAAATATATGTTGCTGAATTACTAACAGAATATCAACGCTAAATCCCGTAAATCTATCGCTATCTTCGGCGGTATATCTGAACCGAAATGTCTTTAACTTCGGGAACAATATCTCATTTTCAACGCAAAGAAACGGTGAAAATAGTCTTAGCGGTCCATCACTTGACCACATCTTTAGGGTTTGTGTTAAGTCAAGTGTTAGCAAATTTGGACACAACTGTATGTTTGCCGAAACGCCGGCCGAGTCTTCTTAGTAGGACTCAATTGTTTACCAAACTTTGCAAACAATTTATCCCTCGTTTTGCTGCTAAACGTATGGTTTAACCAGAAATTAATTGAATCCAAACGCGGCATATATTTGATAAACAACTCAATTATATCGCTATTAATTAATTGTTCATTTGCTTCGGTATAACGCTCTTCAATCTCAAAGCTATCAATATTTGGGTACTTTTTAAGCATTACTTTAAAGTTGTGTAAAATATTTGCTTTAAATTTTTCGCTGTAAACATAGTGAAGGGATAATTGTGTGGATGTGTTGAACACAACTCTTTGCCATTGTTTGCAACTATTTTCGTATCGAAACCTCTGTTCAAATGAGAGATAACTCAACACCACTTCACGCAAGTCATCACCGAAACGATCAAAACTATCCCTTTTGTATGTTTTTGGCATTTCTCTAAATATGGATAATAATAATAAATCAAATTTTATACTAAATAATCGTAACATATTCTATACAATAAATTTAATAAATCATTTACAAATAGAATAACAATTTAATGCATTTTATTATTGAAAACACGTTTACATTATTGTTATGGCAAAAGATTTCTCTATTGAGTAAAATAACGCAATAAATAATATTGATATTTAAGGTAATATCTTAGTTGGTGAATCTAATCAATGTTTCTATAGTTACAATATTTAATAAATATGCTTTATTTTACTGAAAGTTTTACAATTACACATTATAAACATGCGTCGGCCGAACTGCGGGCAGTCGTGTTTGAGGCGATGAAGGAGTCCGTCTTTTCGGTAGAACCGGGATTCGCACGACTCGTGTTCGCACACATACTGGCGTTCAGTGCAATGCGTCTGCCGTTTGCGTCGGTCCGGGTCTGCAATACAAACACAAAACAATGAAATTAAAACACATTTTATAATACTTTGCGGTCAGCGGGAGAGCACCTGTCGACCGGGCGAACGACGACTAACAGTCATACATAACGGCGTGCCGGTGAGCACGGGTTGGCCACTGGCCGGGTGGGGCTTTTGGCGGCACAGTCGGATGAGGTGGTAATTGGACTTAAATATGAGCAAATATAGTGCCAACATTTTCAAGCCCATAAATATAATAAGCAAATTGCGAGCGTTCTTCCAGAAAATACTTTGATCATTGTCAGCCAAATCAAATCTATTGAGCACAGATGACTGGGTGCCCGCTGGGCACCGGTCGAACCCGTAAATAACGATCATGATCCCCTCGAACGCGTGCCTGATGTAGGACACTTTGCTAATGTATTGGATGTAACGATGAAGTTCTTTGACCGGGATGATACAGTTGCCTAAAATCAACATGGAAAAATGTATTCCAAATGATAGAACCAGAGCCATTTTATTGTCATGATTAAATATGATGCCCGCTATATGACCAACGGATTGGGAGCATAGCGTAGACATTGATATAAAGCCGTAGTAGGCTCCGAAATTTGACCACGATTTGTATTTGTTCATGATGCTGATAAATGGTATTAGTGTGACCAGTACTGGACATATGTCCACGGTGGATTTTGCCCAGTAGTATGCGCCTGAACTGTACCAGCCTATGATGATTATGATAAATTTAACGATGATTCTTGTGGTTGACTTTAAACATAAAAAATTAATATGTGTAGCGTTAGTTTGTAAATAAATTAACTTAAGTAAGAATTTAACATTATTAAGCTTCCAACAGTAAACATCTCCACTATTTGAATAGTTATAGATCTACTACAATAAATTTTATTTAAATTAGTTAAATATACAGAAGGACAATGTATCAATTTATAGTAGATAATTACGTAGGCATTTGCCTGCAATACACGCTTAATTTTGATGTACAGATTATCGTATTGCCTATATACACTCTGTATATTATATTTAGTACTATTGTGTTTTTACATAGGAATGCATTGCAACATTATCCTACTATAAACACATGTGGATTAGGCATTTGTAATCCTATTTTAATAAACTCAGATGTTTTTAAACAAGTATAAATTACATTTTAATTTCATGTACTCTTTTTATAATTTCACTAATATCCTGGTCATTTCAATGCCGATATTTAAAGTTATGGCATTTGCATGAAAGAATGAAAGAATAAATTTATATATATACTGTATACTTATATAATAAGTTTATTTACTCCAAATTTAAAATAAATGACAAAATTTTTTAAAATACCATTGATTTATAACAAAAGTATTTTAACCAAGATAATAAGTTTTATAATTGACATATGCAAGCGATTATTTAAAGAAATAATGCATAAATGACTAATTCCATAATAAAATTATTGTGAAAAGCACAGTTGACCAAATTTAAATATTATGTCAAATAAACTAATAAGTTATCATGATAAATTTA